CATTCTTAATTTTTCTCTCTGTTTTTATTGATGTCAGTGGTTGTGTAACTATTTTGAGACTTCTAGAAATACTTGATGAAGTTTGAATGTGGACAGACCTCCTAAAAGGAGGTGGGAAGAATCTAGTGAAATGTTGTTTATTGCCATTACTGTGATCCCTCTCTTTAGACCCCTCTTGAGACCTAAGGATGCAAGGTGTATGCCTGATTCCAGTGGCTCAGAGTCTCAAAGGACACTAGCAGAAGTATCTACAGGTAGACACAGTGGTCTGAGTGTTACGGATTACATGCTTGAATATCTCCAAATTCACATATTGAAGCTCTAAGCCTGGTTGGGTGGTGTTTGGGTATAGGATCTTGGGGTGGTCAAGCTCTCGATGGGATCAGTACCTTCCCAAGCAGAGAGAGGAGAGAGCTAACCATTAAGCGCCTTTCACTCCCCTCCCTTCGCTCTGTGACGACACAGTAAGAAGAAAGCCATCTTCAAGCTGCACCCCGCCCCATGCACCCAACCAGAGTAGCACCTAGCACTGAACTTCTACCCTTCAGAAGTGAGGGGATGCTTTAAGCCCATCGGGCAATGGTGTCTTGTTATAACAGCCTGGATAAATGTGCACAGTTAGGAAAACCTAGACCTGGTTTCAGACCAGCTGAGGTCCAGGGAAACTTTCTCTCTGTGGTCTGTTGGAGTCTGTGGCTGTTACATCCATTCTGGGTTCATTTCAGAGTTGCTGCTAGAGCACCTCACACACAGCCAGCTTCCCGTGAAAGTGACTGAAGGGTGGACCTTGCCTGGGTGCTCCTCCCAGTCACGAGATCCCTCACCCCTGCACCTGAGCACCTATGAAGAAGCAGCTGCAGCTCGGCTCTCTGTACCTCAAGTCCCTGCAGAGCCAGACAGCCACAGGGTGATGTGCAGGATATAGGCCTGGAGGGGCCTGCAGAGATGATTCTTTCGGACCTCTTAATTTCCTGAATGAAGAACAGGCATTCCCACTTGCTAGGGGATAGCACACCATCCTCTTACATCCTCCTTTTACTGAATTTCTCTGTAGAGAGGATGGCATCAGGCCCCAGTGGTCTTCCGGGGTGCTCTGTGAGCCTCTCTGGCTGCAGGTGCGGGTGAGGATGCAGGTCCATTGTACAGTTTTGTCATGCGGCATCCCCCCTCAGCTCTGTGGTGATGCTGCTAAGCAGAAAGCATCTGGGCACCTTTGGGAACGGTGTCTTGGGTGGATCCTTGGGGCCTGGGCCTCGGCATGAGGAGCGAGATTTGGGGGTGGCTGTTCAGCATTGTCATGCATTAGAGAACACATGCTTTTGGATATCTCCTGTATTCACATGTAACCCAAGTATTTGCTTGGATCTCGGGGACTTTCTTAGGACCTTATATGGGTCCAAGGCTTCTTAGAGAGCTGAAAATTGGCATCAGTCACTTGTGAATGGCTCTTTACTCGGGACCTGTCACTGCCTGTGTTGATGTGGCAGGTCGGGGACTTAGGTCTAACTACTGTTGTAAGCCCACTTGGCCCTTTCTTTATTAACACTCCAGAGGCCCAAACTTCCCAGTGTTTGGCAATAAACTAATCCAGAGCAGGGCAGGTAGCTGCCGGACTCTGTAGTCTAGATGGGAGCAACACAGATGCCACCTGAACAGAAAGGACAAGGTGGCCAGGAAGATATGAATCCCTGAGGACTGGGTGTGCCAACCAGGCTAGAGGGCAGATTTAATTTAATTTAATTTATTTATTTATTTTATTTTCTTATGTATTTAGTACAGGGTCTACAGGGTCTCACTATGTAGATTAGAATCGTAATGATCCTCCTGTTTTTAGCCTCCCAAGTGCTGGGATTACAGGCATGCACCACCACGTCTAGTCTGAATCGCCATTTCAGCACATCCCGGGGCATGGGGCCTGCTCAGCATGCCAGGGATCAAACCCTGGCCATTGCACTCTGCCTAAGCAGGCACTTTAGTCCACTGAGCTATCTGGCTGGCCCTCTTCATTTTATTATTTATTTCATTTGTGAATGTGTGCATGTGCGTGGGGCAGAGAGTGGGTCACAAACACAGCTGATGGTCCGGGCTGGGCACAGCAGCTGGCAGCTCCAGCCATGCTGGTTGGTCGTGGAGGCTGCTGGTTCACCAAGGCCGTACAGAGAGCCCCAGCCTGCAGGTGGGGCTCAGGTTGGGGGAGGGAGGTTGTAGGCATCACAGAGGGACCAGAGACTCACACCAAGATCTCACCTGTCACAAGATGCCGATCCTTGATGACATTGTCTTGGTCCAACATTTAGGACTCATTGTTTATAGACTCATTGGACAGCTGTTACAGGCAATTTAGTCTCAGAAGGACTGTAAGAATAGGATGAGGAAAGGGAGGCATGGAGAGCTGTAGTCATCCAGGAAAAGCCCTACAAGGGTCCAGGGAGGGCCAGGATGCACTCCTGGGTGCCGGAAATCCACATCCTCCCTAAGGCTGCCTTGCGTTTGCCCTTATCCTGGCATCTGTCTTCTCCCTAGCTAGGATGGCAGAGCCCAGCATCCCCTCCGCCTCTTCACATCCCCCAGCTCCAAGCTGGATATGAGCAATGGCACTGAATACTCTCTTTGTCTCAGGAGGTAGGCACTGATTTCTCTCCCTCCTTCCTTTCTTCTTTCTTTCCTTTCTCCCTTGGACTGAACAGATTTTCACACTGAGTTACATTTCTAGCCCTTTTAGAATATATTTTTTTATACAGAATTGTGCCAAGTCACAAAGTAGCACAGTCTGGACTTGAACTTGTGATCCTTTGCCTCAGAGTCTTAACATGCTAAGATTGCAGGTAAGCGCCATCAGACACTGTTTTTTCTTTAACACTTCAGTTGTGGTATGTCTCAGTCTATCTTCTGTAGCTATGTCTGAGTGCCACAGGTTGAGCATTTTACAGATAATGAAGGTTCTAGAAGCTGAGTGGTCCAAGTTTGCAGGACCTCATCTGATGAGGCCCTTTACGCTGGTGGCCACCCTTTCCAGATTCCCAGGGCATCACAGAGTACCACATGGTAAGAGGAATATGAAGAAGTGACTGAGCCAAATTGATTTTTTTCATAATAGATCAGCTCTCAAGGCAATTCAATGATGCGTTGCTCTTTGAGTGGACTAATTTGTTTGAATCCCCAGTGACCTGATCCCGTCTTGCAGGTCCTACCTAGCTCTCCCTCTTCATAACCCACACAACTGATCAGTTTCAACAAGAATTTTGGTGGCGACATTCAGCTGTACTGAGGTGCGTTAGCTTAGAGACACTAGCTAGCATTCTCAAAGCCACACAGGTAGTAGCTGCTGAGGGGTCAGGGACACAGCCCAGGCAGCAGGCTCCTGAGCGATCACTGCTCAGGGCCCATGATGGTGGCTGCTTCGGCGGGCAGCTCCTCCCGCTGCCAGACCCACTGCGATGGCTCTGCCAGGCTCACCTGGGCAGGCGGGTGCGGGCTGCAGGCCTGGAGAGTGATACACGGAGAGCGACGCCTCCTGCCTGACAGGCGGAAGATAAACAGCTTCCCGTTAAATCTCACTTAATGCTGATATTTATAAATTTATTCAGCCTGTGTTTACTGAATCGAGAGAATGCCTAATAACATAATGTGCTTCATCTCACATGTTCCTACTAATGAGAATACAAGTACGTATTGCTTAATTTTTTTTTAACATTTCATTTACTCTCCGCTCCTTCCACCCCTTCTTTTTGTTGTGTTGGTTGGGCTTTTAATTTGCTGCTGAACTCTGGAAAGTTTGGGCCTCTTGGATGTTATGCAGAGAGGGCTGAAGTGGGCCTGGGGCAGTAGTTAGCATCAAGTTCCCGAGCTGAGCCTGTCCCCGTGTGAGCATGTCCCCACCTCATCCTACCTCTTCATACCCCACATAGCTGATCAGTTTCAACAAGAATTTTGGTGGCAACATTCAGCCGTGCTAGGGTGCTTTAGCTTAGAGACACTAGCCAGCATTCTCAAAGCCACACACATACTAGCTGAGGAGGGGTCAGGGACACAGCCCAGGCAGCAGGCTCCTGAGCGGTCACTGCTCAGGGCCCAAGATGGTGACTGCTTGCCTTCACCTTCAGCATGGTGTATGAGTCCTAAGCACACACGTGGGGTCACAGGGTAGACCATGCTGAGGGGACAGTGAAGGCCCCGTGTTCCCAACTGCAGCTCAGGTAGCTGCATGCTTGTGCTTGGGCCTGAGATGTTCCGAGGTATCAGGAAGTAGAGGGCAGAGGGAAGGGGATGATGGCTTTCACTTCAGACAGAGAAGGAAGGTGGCCCGAATGTCTGCACTAACACAGGCAGTTTGTAGGGTTGGGGTTCAGCTATATATGAGTGTGAGGGTGAGTATGAGTATGTGTATCTCTGTGTGTGTGTGTTTGTGTGGTAGACACAGAGAGGAACAGAGGAACAGACAGAGAAAGGAAGGGAGACTACATCATTGCCTTAGTTTGATCTGCTTACTATGAATTTGTCCCATTGAGTGCCCATGTCCAGGCTGTCTACCAGCTAAAGGCTGCTGTGTTGGCTGCAAGAAAGGGCAGATCCACTGCCAGGCCACCTCATCAGGCGGGGGCAGAGAGATGCCAGGAGACCAGCCACGTTCAGGAGGAGGTTTGGAAATACACTTGGCAGAGGAATGAGGATGGGAGAGCTGGGTGCTGTGAGCTGGGCTTCCTCGGGGTGGCAAGAGAGAGAGTACAATGAGAAAGCCAAGCTTGCCTGGCTTTGGGGGTCTAGTGGACTATGAGGGGAGGGAACAGCTGGACACCACAGAAAGACTGGAGTTGGGGTGGAGGTGGGAGGCTGGAGATAAAAATATGCAATATTAGGTGGTTTACAGTGCAGTTATGGCCAAGTCCAAGAACCATACCATGCACAACCAGTCCTGAAAATGGCACAGAAATGGCATTAAGAAACCTCAGTCACAAAGATACAAATCTCTGAAGGGGGCAGATCCCAAGTGCCTTAGGAACATGTATTTTGCCAAGAAGCACAACAAGAAGGGCTTCAAGAAGATGCAGGCTAACAGTGCCAAGGCCATGAGTGCATGCGCCGAGGCTATCAGGGCCCTCGTGAAGCCCAAGGAGGTCAAGCCCAAGGTCATTCCAAAGGGAGTAGACCACAAGATCACTCGACTTGCCTATATTGCCCACCCCAAGTTTGGGAAGCGTATCTGTGCCCGCATTGCCAAGGATCGCAGGCCTTGCCAGCCAAAGGCCCAGGCTCCAGCAAGGCCCAGGCTCCAGCTTCTGCTCCAGCCAAGGCCTGGGCTCTGGCTCCTGCTCCAGCCAAGGCCAAGACTCCGGCTTCTGCTCCAGCCCAGGTTCCCAAAGCTGCCCAGGCCCCCATGAAGGCTCCACAGTAAAAGCCTCTTGTCTGCTGATGAAAAAAACAGAAGGACTGGTGTGACCCCTGGGGTGCCATCTATTGGGGGGGCTAGTGTCCTACTGTGCTCTTTGTACAAATAAACCTTAGGCAGGATAAAAAAATACAACATTAGACACAGAGGTTGGGTGGAGTAATGCATATCTTCCTGGGTGGAATAATTTGTACAACTCCTGTTCATATTCAAATTTATAGGTAAGCTGTAAAGCTTTTATTATTATTTATTATTATTATTTTGGTGGTACCAGGGATCAAACTTAGGACCTTGTACTTGTCAAGCAAGCACTTACTCCACTGAGCTATCTCCCTGGCCCACCTAAAGCTTTTATTATCCTATGATTCACCAGCCTGTCACCCCCACCTGCTTCTTTCTAGAGTGTAGACGGGAGGGAGCCACCTGAAGTGCTAGGCTATCCAGCCCTGAGCTGGCACCTTCTAGTTTGGGCATTTCTGTTGGACTGGCAGAGGTGGGTGTGGTGGTGGCAGGTCTAAGAGCAACCTCAGCACTTTGATCTTGTTTGAGAGGCAGAGTGGAGCTGTCTTTCCTGGGGCTTGGCATCGTGCGAGGGTGCTGGTAGGGGGAGGCTCATGTCTTTTGGTATTATCTGAGAAACTACACCTAGTCATGGGGCTCAGGAGACCTGAGAGACTTGGAACAAGGATCGAAGCACTAGCTGGATGGCAGAGGCCCGGTGCCTCCTGAGGGAAAGCAGTCGACAGTGTTCCAAGTGCCAGTTCTCCTGTCACTCACTGGGTTTGTGTCCTTGATGGGTCATCTGTCTGGGCATTGGTTTTCCTGTCCATTAAAAAGTGACATTGGATGATGAACAAAACTTCTGCAGCTTTGTCAATGGCTGGTGTCCATACCACTTGCCCAGGCCCGTGTCCTTGTCCCAGACCAACAGCAGCTCTCCCTCCCGCAGCCAGCATACTGTGGTCCAACCAGTTTGTGTCCTGCAGATAGGACATGGGAGGACTCAGACCAGCTCCATGCTTCAGGGGTCAGTTAAAAATCTACATGTGGCTCACGAAGCAGGCTGCTTTTCACCCCTGAGACCGTCAGGATGGCTGACCACACCACACTCCTCTCTGCAGAGGCAGGAACTTCCGCAGGCCCCCCACTCACACCTCTCCCTGAGCAGCTCTGTTTGGGGTTCCTCCAAGGGGAGAGAGAGGGAACAGGGGCTCATCCCTTTCTTTTGTGCAGCTTCTCCCTCCCACTTCCGCTCCCCTCTCTGCTCCCAGTGACCTTTCACCCCTCCCTTGGATGCCCCTCAAAGGCAGCTCCTGTGGTTAATAACCTCAGCTGGCAGCCCTGCACAAAGCCAGGGCCGGAAACCATTGTCTTGGGGACAATGGCCAAGCAGCCCAATAACGAGGCAGCCACAGTGTTGTCTGACATCCTACGTTGCCCTGGCAAAGGAGGAGGGGCGGTGTGGCTCACGGTGCCCTCCCTCCTGGAGCTGAATTATTCCCCCCACACACAGCGGTTCCTCTTTCAGAGGCTGCGCCAAGCACCTGGCCTCTGCTCAGCTCACTCCCTGTGATCGAAGGCTGCCATGGATGTCACTCAGACAGGGAGCTGTTTGCACCCTCCCTGCGCCACTGTGTCTTGGGCCCACGTTTCTGCTGCTGGGTCCTAGGGAGCTTGAGAACATCAGAGTGTCACACAGTATGCCAATCCATTTGTTCTGGAAAATCAATAAGGGAAGGGAGATCCCTGGGCAATCCCTGCCTGGGCCTGGTAGGGCGCAGGTGGCATTTGGAAAGAGCTTGTGTTCTGGAGCATGCAGGCATGATTTTAGGGTGACCCTCTTACCTTCCTAGCTGTGAGGCCTTGGGAAAACCACTTGACCCCTCTGATTTTCCCCTGATTCATCTCCAAAAGCCCAAGTGGGATTGGAATAGGAGGAGGGCTCTCAAAATTTACTTCAGAAGTGAGTGTCTGTGACTCCAGCAGGCTGCCACGCCTTTGCCTCTCTTGTGGGTGGCTTGGATGCCTGTAATTATGGGAGCAGCCCTACTTGGGTGCAGCATTCCTCCCCTCACATGGGTCTGTGGCTTGTGTGCCAAGCCAGACTGCAACTCACAGAGGGACAAGGAGTTTCACATGTCCCTGACGTACCACTTTGCAGTCAAGGACCCTAAAGAAGTCACACTGACTGCTGACCCCTGTGAGATAGATTCAGGATGCCTCCAGCCCTGCTGCCCTACAGGATTGCTTGGAGAGGCTTTAGGGATACTCAGGCAGATTTCCCAATGCTATGCATGGGGCTTTGCACCTGTGTGTGGAACAAGGGGGAATATTTTAATAGTCAGGTAAAGAGACACTGACTCGTATCTTGAGAAAATATGTCGACTCACATTGATGACCAAGCACAGTCCTGGCAAGAAGTGGACTATATTGGAAGGCAATGTTGAGAGTCTTGAATATAGTGCTCTCTGTTACAGCTTCACTGGAAATAAGTGATTTATGTTTAGGTATAATTTTCTTTGAACACAACTTTATTGAGATATAATTTGCATAGACTGCAGTGTACCCATTGGAAGGGTTCAGTTCATGAGTTCTGACAAACTTATACACACGTATGATCACCACCCCAGTGAACAGATGGGCTAACCAGCGCTCCACCCAGCACTCCAGAAGGTTCCTCCAGGGGCATGGGGTTTTAAATTTCCCCAGGTGATTCCATTGGGCAGCAGTCGGAGGTCCTGTTCTGGGGTCTGTACTTTGGAAACTCAATGGGGCTGCCCCACACTTGAGCTTGCACAGCATTGCATGGGAATCTGTTCCAATGCACATTCGGTTCCAGGAGTGAGCTGGGGCCTCTGCATTCCTAGCAAGCTATAAAGCCCTGGTCTATATCTCCTTTTGCAGATGAGGAAACTGAGGTTCCATTGGTTAACGCAGTTGACTTGAAAACCTTGATTTTGAAACTCCTGATGTAGGACAATCACAGCCTTTTACTCTTCAGTCTTTCTCTTTTTTTAATCCCCACTCCTGGCCTGAATCCCAAACAAGACACACAACCAAAATAGTATATTGCTTCTCTTTGTAAATGTTGTTGATTACTTCCCCCCGCCCTGTCTTGATTCCATTCACCTTTCTGGGGAGGGGTGTCATCCAAAGCCTTTTTCTCCATCATTTGCATTTTCTCTATCAAAAACTGCTTTCCCTGGTTCTTCCCACTCCTCAGCATTCATCTATTCAATTTTATGAGCAAATATTTATTAAACAACAGCACCAAGTCAGGCCTGATCATACCCTTGAAGGGGAAGGAGTTACAAACAATATAGTAGCAGGATATCTGATTGCCCTGCTTAATTCCTTTATTTTATAGATAATGTTTAACAGAAACAATCCATTCCTAATCTCGGTGAGGAAGGGCACATAGAGGAAGCCTCCCAGGAGACCAGGGATTTGAGGAGAACTCTGAGCCACATGCACAGCAGGCTGTGAGAAGCCAAGGCAGGTGTCCAGAGTGGGTGAGGAGGGAGACACTGCTGATGAAAGTGGGCCCATTTTCTTGGAGGACTGGGAACAAGTCCCGGGGACTTGAAAGCACAGATGGTTGCTATCACCTTTGGTTGCCTGATAGACAGTCTGGTGGGACACAGAGGTGACAGCTTGGTTTACTTCTATCCAGGACCACTCTCTTTACTGTACAGAAGGTTTGACCTCCAGAGGAATTAGCAGGGTGTGTGTCTGGAGTCATTTTGGAATTAGGCCCCCAGAACAATGGACCTGAGTTGTTCGGTTAGAGCAGAGAAGCTGTTTGCTCTGCAGGATCTGGGGGCCATATTGACACACTGGAAAGTCAATCACATGGAAGATGTAATTACCCAGAAAGAGGCAGATGGCACTGGGAAAGGATAGGGAAAGGATAGGGTTCTAGCACCCTCTTCTCCCTTGAAAATGGATGAAATCACCTCAGGAAGAAGGGATTTTAGTTCCTGAGTGTGGACAGCTCAGGCTGGATGGCAACAGAAGAATGCAGACCTCTAAACTCTGTCCATTCTGTAAGAGTCCACAAGCAGAAGCCAGTCAGTGAATGGCTTTGTGTCCCTCTTCAAGAGCAACCCTACAGCTCCCCTGGGCAACCAACTTCCTGGGTCCCCTTCTGTCCTCAGACAAAGCTTTCTCTCTCTCAAGTCCTACTTTTTTTCTTTTTCTATTTTTAGGGAAGGATCTACAAGGTGTTCAAGGTCTCACTACTAGATCGGACTCTCATTCTCCTGTTTACAGCCTCCCAAGTGCTGGGATTACAGGTGTGTGGCATCATGCCCAGTCTCAATCGCCATCTCAGTGTGCCCTGAGGGCCCCTGCAGGCGTTTTAATCTGCTGAGTTATTTGGCTGGCTCTTGTACTCTTTTT